GGAATTTAAATATATAATCCAATTGTATTACATGAATCTCTTAACTTTTAATTTCGATCTTATCTTTCCCATTAATAGGTTTGCTTTTGTAACCTCAACTAGTTAGAACGAAGTCTGGATTCTTTTTAAAATCTGTTGAGTATAGCGGTTTGAATAAGTGTAGTGATTTTGTTTAAATTATTTAAAATAAATATTTAATAAATTTTTTATTTAAAAATTATTATAAATTAAGTATTTGATAAAAAGCAAACATCATTCATAATGAAAGTTCTCTGTTTTGTTTGCCTAGGATCACGGAGAGAATCAAATATCAGATGAATGTGCGGAGTTATATCAGAATCAACCTCAATGTTAAATGAATAGATGGTCAATTCGGGATCAGTCTGCTCCGAAGAAAGATGCTTGTGAATATTGGGACGCATATATTGAACAATTTTTTGTGGTTTAAAGGTTAGGAGCAGGTGGCTGTATTATATTGACAAAAGATTAACAGCAAGGTCATAAGTCAAACTGAATAAAAAAGGCATATGAACTTCCTGGAATCTCACATTTCCAAGTCATATTACATCTCATAATATGTAATGAAACTGGTAATACTTTCGCGATTCTTGTGAACATTAAGAACAGCATTGTCTACCTTTTACTTTTGGTGAGAGATATGGGTAAATTTCCCTGCAAAATTAACGTGGTCTACTATTGATTTCATAGAATAGGCGGCAATTGGCTGGCTGTATTTTGTTGACAAGGTATTAACTTAACAACAAAGTCAAGCCAAATATGAGAGCAAGGTGAAGAAAGCTGTTAGGCCTCCCCCGGATATCACATTTCTGGGACACATAATACATCAGAGGTCATGGCACTGACTGATAACTCCCTCTCAGAACGCGTGGAACAAATTTTAAGTAGAAATTTCTTAGAAGCTGCCAACACTTGAACATTAAGAACAATTTTATCAATTATCTTCTTGACGAAATATATCAGAAACAAGATGTCTCAGTATAATTTTCTCAATGATATGTAGGCATTATCAAGCTGCTTCACATGCTCCAGATGTCAAGATTATAGGTGGGAGAAGATTGGCTAATACGCACCAGATTTGACAGTGTATTCAATACATCTTATAAATGTCCATAGAATCTTTTATTAGACAATGGAAGATAAAAGAACTGGAGAGTGCACGCATCAATCACTGAGGGGACACGCTGGAAAGCGTTACCTCGTTGACAGAATTAACAATGTTGTCCAAAGAGGGTAAAACCGGTTCTGCAACAACTCGTCCAACAGAAAATGCAGGTTCGGTTGGCTTAGGGAGTGTTATGGTCTCACTGGCCAACATGACGATCACAGATGACATGGTGGGTCTATCTGCTGGATCTTCCTGCACGCACAACAGACCAATATGAATGCATTTGAGCACTTCAGAAGCCACACAAGACTGCAGTAGTAGTGGGTCTATCAACTCCATCCCCTGGCCTTTAGACCATAGTTTCCATGCCTAAAATATGTATTTTTAGGATCGAAATTAGTATTGCCATCAATAATTTGTTTTGAAGCTAGAGATTCAATAAGAACTTACAAAAGTGAGTAAGCTTTCGCCATATTCTAAAAGATGAAATCCCTTGTTCTTCTTCCCACTTATGATCTCCAGCAAGAGTACTCCAAAGCTGAAAACATCAGATTTGACCGAAAAGAGTCCTTCCATAGCATACTCTGGTGCCATGTACCCACTGTTTAAATTTAACATGACCGAACAAAATGAAACAAACCCAGAATCATTAACTGATGTTTGACATTATGCAATGCAGCAAGACGTGGAGGTTATAAGGACTTACTATGTTCCAACAACTCGATTTGTATTTGCTTCACTTTGATTTCCTCTAAAAATCCTTGCCATTCCAAAATCAGATATTTTTGGGTTCATTTCACCATCTAGCAAAATATTGCATGCTTTAAGGTCCCTATGAATAATTCTAAGTGGAGAGTCCTCATGCAGATACAAGATCCCCCGTGCAATACCATTGATGATGCTAAATCGTTTTTGCCAATCCAATTTCACACTCATGCTTGAATCTGAAAAAGAAAAAGAAATATAATATCATGGTTTCCCTTTACAACCTTTCCTATGTGTATTTATTTAGAGTTTTCAAGTTGAGGCTCAAACCAAAGAGGATCACATCCAGGCTTCTGTTTGGCATGTATTCATATACCAGTAGTGTTTCATCATCCTCCAAACAGCATCCCAAGAGTCTTACAAGATTTCTATGTTGTAGTCTTGCAATCAACATAACTTCATTCTTGAATTCAAGTAGTCCTTGATCAGAAGTTCTTGATAGCCTTTTAACTGCAATTTCCTTACCATCTGCTAACGTACCCTGTAAAGTTTTATAAACTTAAGCAACATGTAACAAGTTAAATCAGAAAACGCCAACATTTACAACATGTAACAATCACCTTGAATACAGGGCCAAATCCACCTTCTCCGAGTCTATTTTCATCACAGAAATGTTTTGTTGCTGCATTTATAATATCTAACTGAATAGAAGGAAATTCCTGAGATCCTCCTACCTTCTCACCCTGAAAATCTTCATTTGAGTATTCATTCCCAAAATTTCCCCCTCTCAAGTCAAGTAGCTGAACCTCTTGGCTGTTCTCGTTATCTTCTACAAGAAAAATAAGAACATGATTTATAGTAATAAACATGTTGCAATGCCAGCCAGAAACATGGCTTACCTCTAGCATTTCTCCGTCGGATGATGATGATGAAAGCAAAAGAACTGAGAGCTAGCACAAGAACTGCTGACAAACTTGCAATGATCGGAATCCACTTTGGTGTTTTTCGTTTTATTCCTTCCAAAATCAAAATGATTATCTTTGTGCGCATTGTTATGCTCATGAAATAGAAGGTCAGGTTTTTTAAATTGATAGTAGAAGACAAAATATACCGATAACCATGTATTATGTGGATGTGGTTTCATTTATATTAAGCATTCGGTTTACTGTTGGAGACAATTAACTGATAGCATAACTAGTATGCATTTCAAAGGAATAGCATATGAAAACAGAAGAATACCTAAATTAATGGAGCAAAAACTACTCATCATAAAACAAAAGAAAAATGAAAGACCAAATATCATGGAACTGATCATTATATCACTCTGGTATAATATATATATACAGACATATTTATATATTTTGTAAAACAAGAGAAACTTTTTCATCGCCTACTTGTAGTTGGTATTATTATAACAGTGAGAAGCCAATCCCAGCCTACTAACTCCTTGAACTCATTCGGCCATGTGGCAGTGTGCTGCATATATTAATTAAATTATTAACCCATCCTAAAAAACCAGGTTCTTCCTTTTTATGCCAAATTCACAACCATTAAAAACTTAAATTATAGAAAAGAAAATTCAAATTACAGTACTCACCAATACCATCCATGCCATTTGGAGCCAGGGGCGTTTTTGATCCAACCTCAGGATTCTTGCTAATCCAGGTACCAGGTGATTCCGGAGAACTCGGTCCTGGTGCTTGTGTCCGAGGGTCGCCATGAAAGGGATATGTTTCATATCTAATGTTACAGCTTGGAAGAAGAAGTCTACCACCTATCTTCCCCGCTGAGCAATTTGGAATATAACCAATAGCGCTTCTGAGGCATCTGTGGCAGTCTGCTACCGATAAATCAGGCGTGCACTGAACAAGCCCATACAAGGTCATGAAATTTGAGATGTTGACTTCCCGGGTTGCATACATGTTCCTGGAAGGAACCGAAGCTTCAGCAGTTAGATTCTGGAACATCTCTGCCACATTTTCATTGAATTTATCTTGTTCCGTTGCGTTGTTAATGTTGTACATGCATGTGGCTGGAGATGTCTCCATAGAAGAGAAGAAAGGTCTGTTGGAATAGCGCACCAGACATTGATCATACCATATGATTGCTTCTTTGCTACCTTCTTTGCTACCCAAACATCGCTGCAAAATCTCACTTGCAGTGGCAATGCAGTCTTGGCAAATGTTTAGCTTAATATCGCCTCTGCAGAGGAAAAGGCCATAAACCTTGTCTGGATATTCCCCTTCAGTTGCATTGGCAAAGCCATAAATCTTACCTTCAAGGTAAAGCTTCCGGTTGAGAAGGCTGTTAAGGTTATGATAGAATTGACTATAAACAGTATAATTAAATTCAGGATAGCAGAAATATGAAAGGTATTCTGGCGTCGCTTTGATATGGTTTTTTGAGAAAAGAATGAATAAAAAAGCAAGCAAGAGCAGTGGATAAGACCCTCTCGAAGCAAAAAGAAATTGAAGCATCATCTTGTTTCAGTTTTGCTTTCCTGAAATCACAGATCTGGAATGTTTGGGGTGTGGTTCATCCAATACACATTCAGAAAGAGGGCTTTACAATTTTTCAGAAAATATTGGATCTTCTTTTATGTTCGAGATTAAATGGGTAGGTACAGGCGGCTGTATTATTTTGACAAGTGATTAACATAGCAACAAGGTCCAAGTCAAATATAAACTTCTTGAAATAGTCATTAAAATATTTCATCGCCAACATGGTGATCTAGAAGGCGTTGATATTCTCACCCGGAAGTCTTCTAACAGCAAGGTAAAACTGCAAGGAATCAGAAAGGTAGAGAATCTTGTCCCCAAAAATTAGATCCTATTATTTAGCCATTATCTCTATAATTTAGGAAGTTTAAATTATTTATTTGTTTTAGGTTGTTATCATTTAAAAATAGATTAGATAAATTTGATTTATTAGTTAGTTATCTTTTTAGCTAAGGTTATCTTGTAAAGCCTATTTAAAGTTGGGTTATTTTCATTTAACATGAGCTTGATTCCCATTCCATTTTCTTCTTCTTTGGAATTCCTTGGTTTTTTAACATTTGGTATCAGAGTCTATTCCCGATAGATTTCATGGCTTCCGAAAATTATATACAACCCTCAATCCCTCGTTTTGATGGTCATCACTATGACCATTGGAGTATGTTGATGGAGAATTTTCTTCAGTCCAAAGAGTATTGGACAATTGTTGAAGCTGGAGTTCTAAAACCAACGGCAGATGATGCACAGCGGGCAGAAATTGAGAAGGAAAAGTTGAAGGATCTCAAGGCTAAGAACTATTTGTTCAAAGCCATAGATCGGGCTATCTTGGAAACAATTCTTAACAAGTCTACTTCCAAGACTATTTGGGATTCCATGAAGAAGAAGTATCAGGGGAATGAAAGAGCAAAATGGTAGTAGCGCCAGGCTTTGCAGGCAAAATTCAAAAGTTTGCAGATGTAGATTGGTGAATTTGTAGATGACTATTTTTCAAGGACAATGGCAATTGCAAACAAGATGAGAATCCATGGTGAAAATCTGGAGGATGTTGCCATAGTTGAGAAAATCCTTCGATCTATGGCAACAACTATGGCAACAAAATTCAATTATGTTGTCTGTTCAATCGAGGAGTCAAATGATATTGAGGCACTTTCCCTTGATGAGTTGCAGAACTTGTTGTTAGTTCATGAGCGGAAGATAAACCGCCAAGACAAGCAAGAGCAAGCAGTGTAGATTTTGCAGACGCAAGCCTTGCAGACCACAATTAATTCAAGGGCTGTAGGTCGAGGAAAAGGAAACTGGAAAGACAGATCAAGATCTAGCAGACCGAGATCTGGTAGACTAGAGGAAAGTTCAAACACTAGAAATTCAAAGAAGTGGCAAAACAGAAATTATCATGTTGCAGATAATAGATCCAAATCTGCAGGCAAGGCAAATGTTGAGTGCTTCCAATGTCGAGTGCTTCCAATGTCATAAGTATGGCCATTATTGTTTTAAGTGCCGTGCTAATCTGAATAGAGGAGAAAGTTCTAACTTTGCAGAATACAATAAGAAGAATGATGATGCCTCTCTATTCATGGTTTGTCATCCTAAAGAAGTCAGCAAGAAAAATGTGTGGTATCTGGATACTAGCTGCAGGAACCACATGTGTGGAGACAAATTTGCATTTTTCAGATCTAGATGAGTCTTTTCAAGACAAGGTGAAATTTGGTGATAATTCTACAATTGCAGTCAAGGGAAAGGGAAAGGTAACCATTCATGCTAAAGACAATTCAGTTCAAACTATTGCTAATGTTCTGTATGTACCAAATTTGAAGTCAAATATGCTTAGTCTAGAATAGCTTTAGGAGAAAGGATATGAAATCCTAATTAAAGATGGAGTTTGCCAAGTTCGCGATTCAAAGCTTGGCTTGATTGCAAAGGTCAAGATGACAAGAAATAGGTTGTTTCCATTGTCCTTGTAGATCACAAATCTGTCATGTTTATCGACCATATTGAAGGACACAGCATGGTTATGGCATTGCTGATATGGACATCTATACTTTGGTGGGTTGAAGGCCTTGTAGATGAAGAAGATGGTAAATGGTCTTCCTCATTTTGATTCTCCTTCAGAAATTTATGAAATCTACGTGGTCAGTAAGCAGCACCATGATAGCTTTCCTAAAGACAGATCTTGGAGAGCAAAGCAGGTGCTAGATCTGGTTCATTCTGATCTATGTGGACCTATAAATTCAACATCGAATAGAGATAAACAATACTTTATTACTTTTGTTGATGATTATAGTCACAAAACGTGGGGAAATTTTTGCAAAACAAAGCAAAAACCCCAACAACCCTTAAAAATTTCAAAGTTTTGGTTGAGAATGAGGCTGGCAGATTTGTAAAGGTTTTGCGTACACATCGTGGTGGTGAGTTTAACTCATAGGAATTTGCAGATTTTTGTGAGACTAATGATATTAAATGGCAACTTACAGCAGCTTATACACCTCAGCAGAATGGTGTATGTGAAAGGAGAAATCATACAATCATGAATATGGTGCGAAGTCTAATGTCAAAAAGCAACTTGCCCAAAGAGTTTTGGCCAAAAGCTGTTAATTGGAGTGTTCATATCTTGCATAGAAGTCCCACATCTCCACTTCCAAATATGACACCAAAAAAGGCTTGGAGTGGACACAAACCTGCTGTTAACAACTTTAGAATTTTTGGGTGCATAGCATATGCACATGTGCCAAATCAGAAAAGGGGTAAGCTTGATGATAAAGGGGAAAAATGTATTTTTCTTGGTGTTAGTGATCAGTCCAAAACTTATAGATTATACTATAACCAAGAAGGTCATCGTTAGTCGTGATGTAGTATTTGATGAAGCAAGCACCCGGTCTTGGACGGAAAAATCTGGGCAACAGATTCCTATAGATTTCAAAAATGGAAAAGATTTGACTGTGCAAAACTCAGGAGGTTAGATGTAGTAGAATGAAGGTTTAACTTTAGCAAACCTCAAGGCTTTAAGAAAGGTAGAAGAGGAAAGTCTTCCTACAGCAGAACACAGTATTGGAGGAAGTCTACCAACAACACCAGAACTAGAATCTGGAACTGGTTCAAGACATCAACGCAAAAAGAGAAGACTAGCATGGTTGGAGGATTATGAGGTAACAAATCTACCTCAAGATGATGTTCTAGTTACTCATTTTGCTTTATTTGCAGATTGTGATCCATTAACATATAAAGAGGCTGTTAAAGAAGAAAAGTGACAAAAAGCTATGGCAGAAGAAATTGGTTCTATTGAAAGGAATTAGACTTGGGAGTTGACAAATCTTCCAAAAGGGCACAAGACAATTGGTGTTAACTAAATATACAAGACAAAGCTCAAAGAAAATGGGGAGGTTGACAAATTCAAAGCTCGCTTGGTGGCAAAAGGTTACAAGCAAAAGTTCAGCATTAATTATCAAGAAGTTTTTGCTCCAGTTGCAAGGATGGATACCATCAGATTGGTGATTGCATTAGCATCACAAAACTCATGGCTAATCTACCAGCTTGATGTGAAATCGGCCTTCCTGCACGGAGATCTGCAAGAACAAATATTTGTTGATCAACCTCCTAGTTATGTGAAACCTGGTTTTGAGCATAAGGTTTACAGATTGAAGAAAGCATTATATAGACTAAAACAAGCACCTGGAGCTTGATATAGTCAAATTGATGCTTATTTCTTAAAGGAAGGTTTTCAAAACTGCCCTTATGAGCATACACTTTACATAAAATTTGGAGACAGAGGTAAATTGATTATAGTATGCTTGTATGTTGATGATTTAATTTATACTGGGAACGATCTTGGCATGTTGGAAAGGTTCAAGCAGTCCATGAAACTTGAATTTGATACGACAGATTTTGGGTTTGTTGAATTATTTTCTTGGTCTGGAAATAGTACAGTTAGATTCTGGAATTTTTGTTTGTCAGAAAAATTATGTGTAGGAAGTTCTAGACAGATTTCCAATGAAGAACTGCAATTCTGTCACTACACCAGTTGACAAAGGAGTGAAGCTTATAAAAGATTTAGGTGGTAGATCTGTGGATAGCAAACTGTATAAGCAGATTGTTGGAAGTCTGATGTATTTGACAACAACAAGACCAAACATAATGCATGGTGTAAGTCTGACTAGCAGATGTATGGAGCATCCAAAGGAGTTGCACTTGCAGAGTACTAAAAGAATTCTCAGGTATTTACGTGGAACGACAAATTTTGGACTATTTTACAAGAAGGGTGACTAGACAGATCTCGCAGGTTTTACAGACAATGATTATGCTGGAGATCTGGATGATAGAAAAAGCATTTCTAGGTATGTTTTTATTTTGGGATCTAGTGCAGTTTCATGGTCTTCAAAGAAGTAGCCCATTGTGACTTTGTCCACAACAGAAGCAAAGTATATGGTAGTGACTTCTTGTGCTTGTCAAGCTATTTGGTTTAGAAGAGTTCTAGAAGAACTTGAGATGAATCAACATGAGGCCACTTCAATTTATTGTGACAACAGTTCAACTATCAAGCTTTCTATAAATCCAGTTCTACACGGGAGAAGCAAGCATATACATGTGAGGTATCATTTCTTGTGCAACTTGGTAGACAATGGAGCAATTGAGTTGACTTATTGCAGAACAGAAGATCAAGTGGCTGATATATTTACAAAACCCCTCAAAGTAGCAGCTTTTTCAAGACTGAGAGAGTTACTTGGTGTTTGCAGCATACAGAATTTAGTTTGAGGAAGGGTCTACAAATTCCAGATTGTAGACATAGTATTTTCCAAATTTCCCTAAACTGAAGTCTAAAGACTTTTAGTTTAAGGGAGGGATTGTTGGAAATTAGATCCTATTATTTAGCCATTATCTCTATAATTTAGGAAGTTTAAGTTATTTATTTGTTTTAGGTTGCTATCATTTAAAATAGATTAGATAAATTTGGTTTATTGGTTAGTTATTTTTTTAGATAAGGTTATCTTGCAAAGCCTATTTAAAAATTGGGTTATTTTCATTTAACATGAGTTTGATTCCCATTCCATTTTCTTCTTCTTTAGAATTCCTTGGTTTTTTTAACAAGAATGACTAAAGAACCTAGATGAGAAGAAAAACGGGGTTAGGAAATTTAGGGTAAAAACAGGGTAACGAAGAATTTGAAAGTATACATTTTTTATGATGAAAGTTCTCTGTTTTTGTTCGCCCAGGATCATGGAGAGAATCAAATAACCTCAATGTTAAATGAATAGATGGTCAATTTGAGGATCACTCTACTCCAGAGGAAGATGGCTTGAGAAGTTTAGGACACATCCATTGAACAAAAGATTAACAACATGGTCATAAGTCAAACTGAATAAAAAGAAGGCATATAAACTTCATGGAATCTCACATTTCCAAGCCATATTACATCTCATAATAATCGGAGGGAGGAAATACCTTGTCTATTCTTTTGAAACAGTCTCTGCTATGAGCTTAAATTTCTCAAGAAGCAACTGGACATTAAGTACAACATTGTTACCAATTACTTTTGGAAAGAGATATGGGTAAATTCCCTGTGAAAAATTTAACATAGTTTAATTTTGAGTTCATAGAGTAAGCCGCAGCTTTTTTCTTTTTCCCCAAAAAAAAAATTTACTATACTAAAATAAACAGCTTCGGTACAAGAACCAAAAAAAATAAATAAATAAAAAGAAATAGAAAAAAAGAGTCACCCTAAAACTAGACATAGAAAACAACAAATAAAATGATCCAAAACCAAAAATAGAAAATGAGCTAAATACATTTTAATTTTATCGCTTTATTTCCCCTTTTTTTAAACAAAATGAAATCGATGTCAGTACCTCACCTAACACTGTGAAAGGCATAGTTAACTTGTTTTCAAAGATGTTTTTAAAAATTAAATACTAAGATAGATTTTTTTTATAGAAGGTAAAGTATATTTAAGTTCAGCTAAATTAATTTAATAGTTAATCTATATTCAATATTGATTGAACACCGAACCACACCAAAGACCTTGGCAGCGGGCAGAAAATATTGGAGGCACTTGTGGCAGATTGGAATATGAAGGCTATTTAGCACTTTACAGTAAGTCTAACCAATTAATTGAACATTATGAACATTGTTTCGTACGTGTAACGGATAATGGGAAGACGCCATG